ATTTTCAGCATCATTACTCCAATCTTCAGTGTCACATGATCTTCAGAAATCATTATAATATGCTGATTTGCTGCTCAAGAAACATTCCTGATTATTATCAATGTTGAAAACAGTTGTGCTCCCCAATATGTTTTTCTTTTTTCTTTGATTCTTTGATTAATAAAAAGTTAAAAAGAACAGCATTTATTCAAAATAGAAATCTTTTCTAAAAATATAAGTATTTACTATCACTTTTTATCCATTTAACACATTCTTGCTAAATAAAAGGATTAATTTCTTTAAAAAAAAAGAAAAAAATTACTGACCACAAACTTTTGAATAGTAGTGTATATTGTAACACAAAATTTCTATTTTAAATAAACACTGTTCTTTTAAACTTTTTATTTATCAAAGAATCCTGAAAAAATATCACAGGTCCCAAAAAATATTAAGCAGTACAACTGTTTTCAACATTGATAATAAATCAGCATATTAGAATGATTTCTGAAGGATCATGTGACACTGAAGACTGGAGTAATGATGCTGAAAATTCATCTTTACTTCATAAGAATAAATTATATTTTAAAGTATACTTAAATAGAAAACTTTTATTTTAAATTGCAATAATATTTCACAATATTATTTTGTGAAATAATATTCAGTATTTTAATCAAATAGATACAGCCTTGATGAGCTTAAGAATCTTCTTTAATAAACATTATTAAAGTTAAAAGTTACACACTTTTTTGTGTGCGCGCTGTTCAGGTCTGGTATAAAGAATGTTTTTGCTCAGGTGGCTGAAATGTCTGCCCAAAAAAATTTAGAGGGAACATTGGTTGCAGCATCTCGCATATTTCAACCGTACATATAAAGTATGTTGTGAATGTCAAAAATCATGGCTGTAAAGCCATTTGTTACAAATTCAAAGATATGCTTTTCTTTTGAACTTTCTATTCATCAAAGAAGCTTTAAAAAGATTTCCAAACAAAAAGAAAGAAGAAGAAGAAGAAAAAAAATAAGCGGCACAATGGTTTTTGACATTGATAATAAGAAAACGTTTAAAGGTGACATATCATGAAAATCTGACTTTTACAAGTTTTAAGTGCTATAATCAGGTCCCTGGTGCATCTACCAACCAAGGAAACGTGAAAAAGATTAACCCAGTAACTTTGTCTTTTGAAGGCTTTTTCTGCAAGCGTCTGAGAAAACGAGTGTGTCTGATTTCACTCCCTTGGTGACGTGGCAAAGGGATCTCATTATAATATTACCACCCCTTAAGGCCTGGGTATACTTCACATTCCGCATTCTGTCTCGCGCACAGACGAGCTTGACACAAACGCAGTACCACTTACTCTGTCTCAACATTCAACTCGCACATGCGCTGTTGTACGCGCACCGTCCGCGCAGTCTCAAAAAATTGCCTGTCCGTGAGCCCTCTTGATGACGAAAATGATGTAATGCGACCGGTGCGCAGATGGCCGAAGTATACTTTGGCCTTTAATCTGGAAGTTTCCACCCACGGCAGACCACGGTCTGGTCAGAGGAGAACTGGCCCCCCGACTGAGCCTGGTTTCTCCCAAGGTTTTTTCTCCATTCTGTCACCGATGGAGTTTTGGTTCCTTGCCGCTGTCGCCTCTGGCTTGCTTAGTTGGGGACACTTTATTTCCAGCGATATCGTTGACATGATTGCAAAGATACTATTTAAACTGAGCTGGATGTTGACATCACTGAATTCAATGATGAACTGTCTTTAACTGAACAATTAGTGTTTACTATTGTCATTTTGCATTATTGACACTATTTTCCTAATTAATGCTTTTCAGTTGCTTTGACACAATCTGTATTGTTAAAAGCGCTATATAAATAAAGGTGACTTGACTTGACGGCACCGTTATTGTGTTTTCGCAAGCGACAACGATGCACCAGATCTAATGCCATGGCAAAAGTTTGAGCAAAACATGCTAACTGTTCTGTCTTTGGCTGCACAGATGAGCACAGAACACTATTTAGAGTCCCAGCCTCAGAGGAGACAAGAGAGCAGTGGATTTATTGATTTATTTACTGTATATTGCTTCTGCCAAACAGATCTAAAATAAACAAGCGGTTCATTTCCCAGCTGTTTTACCTTCACAGACATAACCGACTGTTTTTGTAACTCGTGTGCTTTTAACATATACTTGTGTGTGAATGAGAACTTAGTTTAGTACTCACATGCTGTGTGGTGGCTGCTTTTTTGTTCCTGTGCTTTGGATGTGTGCGCTCAGAAAACCGTATATCAGAAGTTTGAACTCGTATGGTTTAAAACGCATGATTTCAGCACGATAAACATTATAATCAGAACCAAAACAGAGGTTTTTAGCAGGTGTGAGCTGTAATGATGCAGATCTATTCTGGAAAAGGGGGCGGGGAGCAGCAGCTCATTTGCATTTAAAGAGACAGGCCCGAAACAGCATGTTTCTGCTTCCACTCAAAATAGGCATTTTCTAAATGATATAATAAATGATCTGTGGAGTATTTTGAGCTGAAACTTCACAGACACATTCTGGGGACACCAGAGACTTATATTACATATTGTAAAAAGGGGCATACTATGTCTCCTTTAAGCATCAAATCAACATATTAGATTTCTGAAGGATCATGTGACGCTGAAGACTGGAGTAATGATGCTGCAAATTCACGTTCGAAAAAATTGTAATAGTATTTCATAGGCCTGGGCGATAAAACGGTAATGATATTTATCGACGGTACACCACCTTTGATAACGATATAAAAAATGTTCGATATAGTGCACGCTATATGCACGTGCTATGAGTGAAGCAGACAGCACACACAAACACGAACACATGAACTGAATTGAGTGCTGTGCCTGCCTGTGATGAGGAGATTGTGAATGAAAAATGAATATTAGTAGAAATTAAAATAAACATTTGCATTTGAATGTTCGGAGTGCGTCAGGGAGCGTCATCAGTGGCGCACGAGATGTGGTGGTGATGTAAGTGACGTTGTTGCATTTTAATGTTTTGTAAGTCTAGCCCACGAGATACGCCGCTGCTGCGTTATGCATTCAAAATATTAGAGAAATATACAAGTGCAATGCGGAGAAGATCTTGATTAGGTGAAAACCAAAACCAAGCCATTCACGCAGAATGCATATTCAGCGTATTTCTTAGATGGAGAAATATGACTGCTGCACTCGTGTCTCACACAAGAGATGTAGCCAT